CTCCTTGAACCCCAGTGGGCCTCAGCAGATGGCCGCTCACACTGAGCCTGGTTCTGCTGGAGGTTTCTTCCTGTTCAAAGGGAGTTGTGGAGAACCTCTTCGGCTCTCCATAACCGCTATTGAGCATATTTCCTTTCCTAAACTTTACCTGCACAAGTTCACCCTCAAAATCAACGACAGGTACTTGGCTCCAGGTACTCAGAGATTCACTTCCATACAGAAAGCCCATATTCTGATCTTCAGCTACCACAGAGTACATGTCAGATTAAATAATACCACTTATACTTTAGCGATAGTATCTAGGTGTTTCTTTATTGTATCTCTTATATCCGTTGGTTGTGCTGTTCTTTTCTTTCATCTCTTTGCAGGTGATGAAGCAGACTGAACATGTTTTATCATTATCTCCCTTTTATCTTCTCTTTCTTTCATCTTTTCTCCTTTTTTCTCTGTTCTACTTACATTGCAATGTCCAAAAACTCCCTGCATAATTGTAATAAAGCAATTTATATACATGAAACAAGTGGAACGATATGGCGATAGCCGTACTGCTCCACTTGTGAAAATATAATCTGTTGTGCTCTTTTTGGCATCAAGACAATGTCTTGAAAGTAAAAATACCCATTCCATTGGCAAACGTTCTCATTTACCTACCCAAAATAAGGGTAAATACTCTTACTTTAAGAAACGTTTGACCTTTTTCTAGATTGTTTTTTCAGTGTTGTAGCAGCATGACTGGAGCGCTCAGCTGAAAGCTCTGCTAAGGTTAGGAAACATGTCTGAAGTGCAGAGAACAGATGTGGCTTTGAGATGTGAGGTTTATCTGCTGTTTGATTCTTTATCTGCTTTGCTGCAGACACAACTGAGATTTTCCAGTTTTTTCATATGATACAGACGCAAAGCTTTGGCTCTAAACATGCTGGAGGCGCTGATTTAAAACCAGAGGAAGGGTGTTGGTGTTTTACCTATTTTAGACAGATCCAGCGGCTGAGGCTGAGACCAAACCACCTCCCCAGTCCGTAAGCTCTTTATCCTGGTGGTCACGTTGAATATGGATGACGGGCTAAAAATACAGGAATATATTTTTCCCGATCTGAGAAAGAGGACAGACAGACGTTAGCCGAGGCTGGAGCAGACGTTAAAGGATTCCAGTGAGGAGCAGACTGACCTGCTCAGTTGCAGAGAGGCCTCAGCTCCAGGCTCATCGCTCCAGCTGCAGGTCACAGATCTGGTTTCGTCAGGACTTATCTGGTAAAGGCAGGACATGTTCAGACTCTCTGCAGAAAGGAGAAAAAAAAACTCCATTTAGGTTCAGCGTCTCACACTTTAATTCTTTCACTGAAGGCCTTTATGGAAGGAAGTGTTCCACAGAAAGGTGTCTGCTGTACGGTCGGCCTGTGGATCCACTTCCTGCCTGCACATTTATTCATTTTATTTGAGTTTTGACGGCACTAGTGGTATGAGAGAGGGGGGGGCATGCGGGAAAGGACCACAGGCCAGATTCGAACCCGGTTCACCCGCATTGAGGACTAAGGCCTACCTGAGTGAAGTTGCCCCCCCCCCCACCTTCTTCAAATCAGACAAAATTAGTGTCAAACGTTTGTGCAGCAAAAATTTTCCTTCGTGCCGCTATCGTTTTAAAGATATAAAGAAATATTTCTAGAGGTCATCAAAGGTCAACCAGCCCCCCCACCTTCTTCAAATCAGACGAAATGGGTGTCAATTAACTCAGCTCCGTTTGTGCAGCAAAAAATTTCGTTTGTGCTGCTTTGGGTTTGAAGATTTGAAGAAGATTTGATGACCTCTAGAAATATTTCTCTATATCTTTAAAATGATAGCGGCACAATCGAAAATTTTTGCTGCACAAACGTTTGACACCATTTATGTCTGATTTGAAGAAGGTGGGGGGCTGGTTGACCTTTTGACCTTTACATTTTCATTATTATCTTCAAAGCCAAAGCAGCACAAACGACTATTTTTGCTGCACAAACGGAGCCGAGTTAATTGACACCCATTTCGTCTGATTTGAAGAAGGTGGGAGGGGCTGATTGACCTTTGATGACCTCTAGAAATATTTCTTTATATCATTAAAACGATAGTGGCACAAACGAAAATTTTTGCTGCACAAACGTTTGACACTAATTTTGTCTGATTTGAAGAAGGTGGGGGGGGGGCAACTTCACTCAGGTCTAAGGCCTCTATAGATGGGTGGGGCGAGCTAACCACTGCTCCACCTGCACACACATCTATGAGCCGCTTGTTGAGGAAAATGTTAATTAATGTCTAAATGTTACATCATCCAGCAGTTTTAAGTGAAGAAAGCGCAGATGCTGCAGATGGAGAGCCTCTTAACTTTGGGAAATAAAGCGTTTATAAAAACACAAAGCATCAATATCTTTAACAATAAATATTAATTCCTGGTGCATTAATGGAAAGTGAAGCTCATATATCATGGAATATTCCTGGAAAAGCTGCAGGGATCTACGGAAGAGGATTAGGGCCACTGGAAAAATAAAAAAGTTCACTGATTTTTACATTTTATTTCAGAAAAATATGACAATAATTATTGATATTTATATTGAAATAACATTTAAAAATCAGTTAACTTTTTAAATTTTTTTTGTGTCCCTAATCCTCTTCCATAGGAATCTCCTGATGTGCCAAAGTTTTTCCTTCCACCCAACTTTTTGTACTTTGAGCAGACAGCTTCCATATGACTGATCTCTGAGTCGGTTTGAGCCGAGCAGGAGGGCCAAACTGTGGCTCAGGGGCCGTTTGCAGCCCGCACAGTCATCTTAGGATAAGTTCAAGAAAAATTTAAATAAGTCATAATTATGAAATTCTAAATTACAATTATGAGACATAAATTTTCAATATGAAATAGAAAGTAACAT